TTTAGTATGGGCTCAGGTGGAGGAAGAGAAATTAAGGAGAAGATGGATACAGCATGCTGCTGAAGTGGCGGTCAGGAGTGGGCGCAGGGTGCTCCTTACCTAAGCAAAGCAGTGGCACATCTAGGCAGAAGAATGCTTTCAGCGAAGGGTTGCTGGTGCCTGCAGACCTTTGGCACCTAGGGAAGGCCTAAGAGAGTTTAAGTGTCTCCATAATATCTCAAAAATCATTTAAGAGACTTTGTCGATCTTGCCCTCTGGGCGTCCATTAATTCAGCTGTAACTACTTTTGAACTTTGCGAGTTCCCAGCACTGACAAACGGCATCGCATTTCCAGCCAGGCCCAGCCCCTGGTTGGGAATGTGAACACGGCGTCTCAGCACCTGGCACAAAACCCAGACACCGCAGCTACCACTCGACTGTCCCCCACGGCCCTCAGCTTCACGCGGCTCAATGGCCATGCAGCCCAGTGTCCTCACATGGAGGAGCAGACACGAAACTGGACACGACTAAACCTGGGTGGGTGGGAAACCCTGGGAAGGTTTCTAGACATCAGAGCAGTGACGTACTGAAATAGCCTTCCAGAATGGGAGCAGAAACCTTATTTGCTTTCTGGAGGATGGAGCTTCATCACCCAAGGACTAAGTCACGCGAGTGCCAAGAGGAACGGGGCCCTTCCAGTACAACAGATCCGACCCCTGGGAGGTCCCAGACAAAACCCAGCAGCCTCTGCAGTGCTGTCTTTCCATTCAGTGACCAGCTTCGAGACTCCCGAAGCACGCAAGAGCCTTTGTACTTTGTTCTTGCCTTTGCGAACTTACAGACTATGTTAAAGAACTGAAGAGAGGGTAAGGGGAGCAGAGAAGGAAAGGAGAAAGCATTGCTGATGCGTCTCCACTTCAGAGTCCTCCCTCCCTCCCCTGCAAGGGCATGAGACCGACTGCTCATCCCCAGCCCGTGGTACACTCAGCTGTACAGCAGTAACAAAACCAACTCTGATATGAAATGCTGGCTGTATTTTTATAACTTGTATTGCTTTAAAGAACAAAAAAGAAAAACAAAACAAATTGAGCAAAGGGCAGCATGATGCGAGTGCCAGAACAGCACTGCTCAGATCCCATCCATGTCTTATTCCCTCTGACAGGATCACAGCCTGTTGCATTTGCCATTTAACACTAAATTCTCCATCATCACTCAAGGTTATCGTCAATGGATTAATAGAGCTCAACAGGGATGTGACCGAACATGTTTCATACCCTTAACCCTCTATGTACCCTTGCATTGCGAGGCTCACTTTCCTGGAGAAACGTTTTCACATCCCTAACACTTCAAATCCAGTACCCCACTTCTGCCCTCACTGATGTGAGAATGATTTCTAAGATTACCAACCTGCTCGGAAGGTAATAGCAGGAACCGCTGACACCAACATCTCTCTTTTGGCTGGCATGCCCACTGCAGACTTGGCAAGCAAAGCCACATCCTTACTAAAATGCTTATCTTGTTCAGTTCTTTGCCACAAAGCAAACAGCCTAATTTGCGCCTCTCTTAATCCTGCAGCCTACCACAGCCGCTGCTATGAGCCAACACAGCTTTTATTCTTGACTTAGGCTCCAGCGAAGTTTCAGAATCACTCTGGCCTCCACCACATACATTTGCAAACTGCATCACCAGAGGAGAAAAACCAAAGGAAATTTATCCTGAATACCCTAAAAAAAACTGAATGCAACCGCTCTGTTACGGAGTTAGTATTTTCTCCTATTTCCAGCCTCTGTAATGTAAAAGAAAACCCAAAGTCAACACAGGGTTTTTAGCCAAATTAATAACAAGTGGTAAGAGTTAACAGACTGATGATAGCTATCTGGAGACTGCTTTGACTGTAAGATATATAATAAATCTTTTCAAGTTGTGACAAATGTCTTGGCTAATGCAGTGCACATTCTATGTTTAGATCTTACTAAAATGTAATACAACATTTGGTTTTAGTTTTTTAATTATAATTAAGAAACAAACTCCAGTCCACTTTAATCTCTCCGCAGCCTAAATTTGCACATGGAATTAGTGTCCCCCCTGTGCCAATCTTTCCCACACTCAATATTCAAATCAAAGGAAAACCAGACATCCTTTCCAGTAGGGGTTTTTTGCTTACAAAAATCTAGTCAAAGCATAGAATGGATATTTCTAGGAGTCCAAAGGTTAAATCCTTGCCTCTTGCTCAAGGAAATCTCTGTGGAGTAGGTAACATCCCACACCCTGGTGTTGCAAGATAAGAACCCAAACAGAACAGACCAACAACTCCACTTTTGATGGATCGAGGAGGATAACTGAGGACAAGGAGCTACCTTGTCTGTCAACACACACCACCTTCGTCAGGAAAATGCCTCTTGGATCCATTTCCATAGAGGCTTCATTCCCATGGCTGCCACACCACACCTGGAAGGCCAGGTTTGAACGCCATTAGCATTCAAGTGCCGTGAGGTATTGCATTAATGCGCAGCAACAATCCTTGACGTGCTGGATGAGCAAGCTGCCCTAAGTTGATGGGCACGATAGGGAAGAATAGAAATACGCAGGCGGCAGCACGAAGACCTGTGTGTTTTTGAAGGAGTTCACATAACCAGATTCTGAAACAGGATAATCCAGGCAGTCCTGCATTGGTTACTTCATAACACCTTTCACATATATAGCACTCAACAAGCACGCAAAATCTCTGGCTGCACTTCTGCAACCCAATCCTAACAGACCAGCTCTGCTGCTGTGCCAAATCCTGGTAATATCAGCAGGTCAAAATGCAACTGGACGACCGTATTCACACAGCTCCCGTTGCAGGTGACTGGCTTTCGCATCCTTGCAACAGCAGTTCTCAGTGGAGGTGAGGCAGTGGGAAGCAGGTGAGCAGGCTGAATGAAGGAGGACAAGGCTTGCTTTGGACTAGGAGCAAGAATTTTGTTTCTGAAGAAACTGAAAATATTATCCTGTCTCCAGGTGCCACCAGAATCAAGGTAGGGGTTAATTTAGGAGGGAACAAGACAGCTTCCACGCTGGAACTGGAGAGGCTGGTATGTCTTACACCTGAGTGTCTTCCCACTGAAGCTGCCCCAGGGCAGGGCCACCCGGGTCAGGAGCCAAGGTGGAGGAGCAGGCTGGCTCTCCCAAACAAGGATCCCTTTTCAACACATGATAGAAAAAGGGAGCGGAGGCTGTCCTGCACACACAACACACATTCAGTCCTTTTTTGCCTCTGTGCCTGCATGTCCCACAACGCCTGTTCTTGCAAACAGTATGTCTGCGGGTGTAACTGAGCATTTCTGTCCCAGAAGCACAATTTTGCTGCAGGGAGGAAACCAACGCAGCAGAGAGCTGTGATGACCATCAGAGGTAGGTCCAAGCTATGCAGCACATGCCCTGTTAGGGAGCGGGGTTTATTCAGCTTGGAGAAGGAAAAGTTTTGTGGGGATCTGACAGCTCCCTTCCTACAAGGAAGGCATCAGAAAAACAGAGTCAGGCTCCTCACAGTGGTGCATGGTGGGAAGACAAGAGACAATAGGCGTAAATTGAAACACGAGAGGTTTAGACTGGGTATCAGGAGAAACTTCCAGGAGGACGGTGAAGCAGCAGAGCTGGAGCCCAGAGAGGCTGAGCAGTCACCTTCCTCGGATGTTTTCAGCATCCAACTGGATAACGCCCCGAGTAATCTGCTGTGAGCAGAAGGTTGGACTAGAAACCTCCCGAGGTCCCATCCTACCTGAATTACCTAATAAATCTATGATTCCAGGCGGAGACCTGGCTGTAATCCACAACAAAATGCTTTACCTGAAATACACAGCAGCACCCTGACACACACACAGCCTTCCAGACCTCCAAACCACCACACGTTTCAAAAGCAAGTTGCCTGACTAAGCCCAACATGTGCTTTCCAGCATTCACTGAACAGCCCACATGTATCCATGTCTCACCTGGCTTTAATGAACGTTTTTTCTGACAAACAACGGCCTTTTCATGGATTTGGAGGGAATCTGCTCAAATCAGTACCAGTCTGTGGCAGTGGGGTTGTGCTGGGATGGGACACCCTGCTCCCTGCATGGACTCTCCTCTGACTGCCGGAGCCTGACTCAAGCCCAGAAGCACAGACACCTACTCCAAAAACGTACGGGCTGTCCCGTAACAGCCCTGGCTGCTCTCACTATCCGCAAAGTTTCTCTTCGTATCCTGCTACGCTTTTGGCCACGCCGAGGCACAGAGGCCCACAGTCTAGTCTCGCTCTGTGTACAAAGGCTGCTCGACGGGGCTGTGTTTGTCGTTCGTTGCTGGACGGCCGCCACGCCGAAACCGCGCAGGACCGCGCCACCGACGCACAGCGCCCGCACCAGCACTCCTCCGAGGGAACCCAGTCAGAACCAGCCAAAGCTCTTCGAGCTTGGCAGTAAAGTTTGCATACACATTAAAAAATAAAAAACCAACAACTATGAGTTTTCTGAAAAACTCCATAATCCCTTCCAGAGGTGAGGAAGCCTGTGCAGCTTTGGCACGGCAGGAGCAAACAGAGCAGCGAGGAGGCTATCGCTGAGTACAGGGAACAGGGGCTACACTCCTCTGCTCACACGAAATCTGCCATTCTCTACAAGACCCAGAAACGGCTGCCAGATGAGTTGCAGGACTCAAAAAGCCCTGGAAATCTACAGCGTATTTTCTTCCACTGCTCTTTTTGCCATGTTTTCCTTTCAGCACAGCAGAGCAGCGTGTTTGTGCTGGCCAAGCCTACCCTCCTCCTTTCCACCGCACCTTCAAGCAATCCAAGCACAGGAGATACAGTATTACCTCAAATATTTAACCAAGGGATTAAACTATTCTCTTGGCAGAAGGCACGAGCTGCCCCACGGATACAGCTCTCGCACCGGCTGGCAGGCACTGCGTGACAGCCTGCTTCGCAGCAAACAATCTGCCCCAGGCTATGAAAAGCTCTCCATAATTTTCCCCCACATTTTTTCACTAATATTTCTGCTCACCGGTTCCCGGCCATCCATTGCCTCCATCCACAGCCTGCGGTCCTCTTCTGAAAGTGCCTGCATGGTGATCACTCCAGGTCTGCGGAGATAAAGGGAACATCGTAAATAAACTGCAGGATGGAAAACAAAGATGACAAAGATAAATTTCCTGTGAGAGAGAGAGAGGACAACCTTGTTCCTAGCCAAGCCCCAGCAGCACAGGGCTGAGCCCAGCCTGACCTCCCCAGGGATGTCCCTGCAGGTCCTAACCAGGACCAGCAAATGAGCAGAGGATATCTGCAACAATCAACACACATTTTCAGTGTTTTTAGTGAAGAGAGTTGGATGCCAAATTCTTCCTCTGGCTTTCAGCCAGACAGCTCACCTGCACTTGGGATAAGCACATCCATGCAATGGCAGGAGAAGGCAAGGAAGGCAACCAAGCAAGCAGGAGGCCCACGCATCCCAGCCCGTGCCACCACCACCCCAAGCACCAGCTTACAGGGAGGGACCTTCTGCTGTGTGAAGAATTTCATCCCCAACACGTTTGTGCCAGCGTGGCTGCGCCATTTCCCTGACCACATCCATACACTGATGTTACATGCAGTAATAGCAGCGATGCAATCCTGGTCCGCGTGCCCCTGCCAGCAGCCTTGCCGGGGGCAGCGCTGCGAGGAGTCCCGGGGTGCCCCAGGCTGCTCGCTCCTGCGCCGGCTGGTTCCGTCCGGCCCTGCCACCCGGCCCCATTAAACACAGAACAGCCCATGAGCTGCACTCTAAGTCCAGCCTCTAAAAAATAACTCTGTGTTTGCTTATTTATTTTAATGAGAAGAGGAAAGAACAGGCCCAAGTGCCTGCAAACAAAGCACAGGGAGCCAGGGGACAACACCAGTCCAGCCCTCATCCTAGGGCCAACGCCACCTCCACCACTCCTAAGTGGACCCTAAGTCCACTCCTGGACTGCCCTTTCCATACAAGGAGTTAAAACTTAATTATCTAGCTCTGATAAGCATAACCACGAAGGTCATGATGGATTTAACGTGGTGGAGAGTATTTGCACAAGTTCAGGTGTGGCCGTGTGTTTGCACAAGAGGGGAACGTGCCACAGAGGGTGAAAGCCAACGCTGTACTCCCAAGGGTCGCATCGTGGGCTGACGATTTCCTGCATCTCATTTGGCTGCAAGCTGTCAGGCTTTCCACCCTGAACATCCCAGCTCATCTTGCAGCCAGCAGATCCAGACACAAAAAGCCTAACTAGCCCTATGCCTCCTCAGCCTCACCCCTTTGGGTCTGGGTCTCCGGCCTCCGAAAGGGTGGTCGCATCCTGCCCCACTCCCAGAAACCCCGCAGGAGGGCTGGGCTGCCCGCACAGCACCCAGGGGACCAGGCAGAGGCCCCAATCTAGATGAGAGATCTATTCCGTTTGTTTGGTCTAGTCATTCTGCTTCCTCCCAGGCTATTTTCAGACGCATTAGCAGAGCGCAGCAGCTATTTCTGCAGGAGGAGAGCAGGCAGAAGCCCTGGCAACCGGGGAGATGCAAGCATGACCAGAGCGCTGCGAGACTCAGCGTGCTCTGGGTGGTTATCGGTGCTGTCTCTGCAGCAATGCTTGTGGGGTTTTATCCATCGAAAGTACGACAGCAGAGAACCCCTGATGCTGCTCTTCCCACCCACGGCAAAGCACAGCAGCTCCAGAAAGGCAGTGGAGAGCCAGGACCACTGCTCACGGGGCACGGGGCTGCCGTGGCACAAGACGGGGAAGAGCAATTTAACCTCGGGAGCTGCCAACTGCCTACGGACCGTGTTCAGCAGAGCACGTAGGCTCTTTTCGGTACTAAATCCTCAAAAATTGATAAGGCCTGGGAAGAGGGGTAATTCAGCAGGAGAACGTGAGCTGCAACAACACTCTGCAAAAGTCGTTTGGTCCTTGATAAGAGCTGATCCTCTGTTAGAAAGGAAAACATTAACAGGGGCTCTCATAGTGGTGGGTTTGGCCTGTCTTCTGTCGCTTCTGTGGTACGTATGGACAAGGTACAGAGGATTAACTCTTCTCCTTCACTCCGCTCCCCATCCAACCAACCCAACAGCTGGCTTTCGGCACCCACACGGCAGCTTAGCACTGCTTCAGCAGCGGAAACCATGCGTTCAGGCTTGCAACAAGCCCAGGTCCAAGTAAACCAGACATAATATGTTTGATCTCCGCTAATCCCATTGGTGAGTCAGTCAATACTCACCAGCTTAGTGGTTTAGAAGTTTACTCATTTCAAAGGGAAGAGGAAACCACTTAACCATCGCCCCATTTGAGAAAGAAAACGTTCAACATCCAACACCAAATATTTTCAAAACACTGAACAAAGCTCTTTGTTGTGCAGAGACAAAGCGATTCACGAGCAGTCCCTGGTAGCTGAGGAGCTGCCGTAGCATTAGCTACAGGCTGACAGCAAATCCTGCCCCCATGGCAGGAGCAGGCTTTTCCTTGGGTGACCACAGGTCTCAGCTGCACCGTCTTTCAGCCAGGGCTTAAGTCTGAGTTTAAGGCAAGCTGCTGCTGAAGGCACAGGTATCCAAGGCAGAAAGCCCTGGAAGGGCTCTAGCTCAACTAGGGAGACACGGGAAAAGGAAATACTGGGATTTCTGTCTCTTTAGCCAAGACATTAAAACAAAGAAATTTAAATCATTCATTTGTGTTAAACTCGACACTGGACTCCCAGCGAAGCGACAAGGTCCTAGGGAGACGATACTGGTATCTGGCGTGCCAGGTTCCCTCATGCACAGGGCAAAAAGGTGATAACATGAAAATGTTTGTTCTGCCTTTGAGCAGATAACAACTCTTTGGGCTTCACTTCAAAGTCAAACTTACTTAACAGCATGAGGGGAGGGGCTGTAAAACTGAATTAAAAACCTATTTACATTGCAAATAGCTCTGCATTTCCTCCCACAGTGTTCATTTGCCAAGGCATCCAGTCCAGCACTTTCCTGAGCAGAACCATCTTCCTGGCTGTGATGCATTTAAAATGCACCCCACACATTACGCCTGATTCATTATTTATTTGGACGATGCCCACGGGGTACCACATGCTTAATAGTCAGGTAGGATGGCTGGCACTGAAACAGCATCCTACTAATGCTATCAACATGCAACCATGTTCGACTCGCTGTCTGCAGCCAGCCTCATTTTCACAGGGTTGCCTTGAAGATCAACCGTTTCCAGAAGTGTGCTCGTTAGATTACAGATATCTCAATTATTCAGTGTAAAGCCTGAGACAGGGAAGGCCCTTCTCTGACTTCCTTTCCCAAAAGAGAAACAAAACATAACTATCTTTGTTCCCTCACCTAACATACAAACTATCCTGAATACTGGTGCTTAGCTAGATTTTGCTGTTGGGTACCTCACATCCCCTCCCTAAGCCTGATGAGGCACGCACAGACACATGCTGGAGGAGCCTCCTTTACCCTGGTGGGTCTGCCCACCTAAGCCAGCCCCGAAACTGTCACATCGGGACAGCAGGATGCCCTCCTGGATCTGATGTCTGAAATACAAACGTGAACTGTTGTGGCAAACAAGATAAAGGACCGCTGATTCATTACTAGATGCTGCATCATACATTTCAACCTCCAGGCACCAAAACCCTTTTCCACCTTCTGGGATGCAAGGGGGGGAAAGGGACATTTTGTGAGCAGCAGCAATCCATTTCTAAGCTGAGTGAATGTGTGAGACCAGAGTAGAACACGGTAAACACTTCACAAGAAAGTATATTTTCAATATGCTACAATCGAAAAACTAAAGAGATTTTTCCATACGAGACCACACAGGAAATTTGAATTTTCTCAATATCTCAGCTTTTGTGAAAAACAGCCTGGGTTTAAGGAGCTATGACTAAGCACGCAGAGAAAATGAGAAAGTCCAATAGCTTCTCCTTCTTCCAGAAAGACAAACAAATAATGAAAGCAGCAGAAACAGATAAGAATTTTCAACTCCTATAGCAGCTTATCATACTGAGACGATCTAAACTGCTGAATGAAAAAACATAAGAGCAGATTAATATCAGGGTCTCAAGAGCTAAGTGGAGTCGAGTGCATGGAGAAGTTTGCAGTCCCAGCCTGAGCAGAGCAGCGTACCCATGCACTGCTGGTGCCCCAGGCACCAGCAGCCAGATGTGGCCCCAAAACGAAGATGAGAAAAGGTATAAATAAGGGGGGACTTCAGTGCTGAATTCAGAAAGCCTCACTTGCCTGTGTAAAGCTTAAAGCACCGTCAGTACAACCGCCGCCAGCACACCCTGCGGCAGGGGCCGGCATGGGTCTCCGTGGCCACCAAGGGGGGAACAAGCTTCGTCTGCTTGCTGCCAGCTCGCCTGTGAAAACCCCACGAATCGCTTTGTTTAAAAGGTCACTGGAAAGGCGACACCCGCAGAGGAACAAGAACAAGTTGTATTGCACGTGCTGTCCAAAGCACCGGCAAGAGCTGCTGGCCGGCCGTAGGGAACACCAGCAGAGGTGCTGGGGCCGACGGCCACCCAGCCCCGGCACAACCAGCCCTGGCGCTGGGAAGCGGGGAGCGTGCCCCGCCACGGTCAGGATGGCACTCAAAGAAATATGCGGATCTGTAAAGTGCGTACCCAGAGCAAAGCCAACAACCCACCTACTGGCAGCCATCTGGTCGGGGAAATGCTTGGGCAGGTGCATCGCAGCTCACCCACCCCGATGCCAACCGTTACGCAGCCCGACGGAGCGCAGTGCCAGCCACTTTGGGGGCACGCAGGCAGTAGCCCAGGGGAATGGCATTACGTGCAGAGTTTATTGCCTTTATGAACAACTAAGAGACCAAAACCCTCAAATTTTGAATACCTCCTGTTCCCATAAAAGCCAATTGCTATTAGAAGCACTTCGCTTCTGGCCCAGAGCAATGACCTACATTATCCTAAATTACAAAGCCTTTGTCATCAGCCAAATGAGATACTCCTCCTCCTAAGGCTCATTTTGTAAGACATTGGCTGTCATCCCTGTTTACCTTGTTTACAAAACTGATTTAAAGCACAGAGACTACAAGTAAGTTTAGTTAGGAAAAAAGGGCATCAACACAGTATCCATCAATCCGGGAATGTATTTCAGCCAGACACTAGAACACCATTCTGGGGCTAATTTTGCTGTAACAAAGCAATAAAATACTTCTAACTTCTCACACTGAAAATCAGAACTATTTACAAATGCAGTGTGTGTCAGGGATTTCTTAGACCTCTCACAAACACCTGTACCACAGCCTTTCAGTCTTCAACATTGGGAACTTCGGCATCTCCTTATCAGACTGCAGGGAAAGGAAGCAATGTTGTAATGACAGATCCAGCTCAAGATTTTCAGCTCAGTAGTGCTGAATCATCTTTACAGGACAAAAAACTAATTCCGCCCCCCCCGCAACAAGCAACGACTTCTCTGGCTGTTATTTAAAAAGCTCCAAGCCTGCACCCCATGTTGCATGTATACCAGTTTCCCAAAATGCAACGCTGACAGAAATGGGTACATTTCTGTGCCGATGAACATAACCGGGGAAGAACCAGCCGAGGCTGCCACCTCTAGGCTGTACGGCAAACCAGGAGCTTGAGCATGGTCCCCTCGCTCCTGCGTCTGTCAGCACCACAACACTGGGATTACACCGCATCCTACAACACTGTGCAAGTTAGTATGGACAGAGCTTTAAAAGTTATGCAAATTTTATGATGATAGATAAAAATTTTTTAGTAGAAAGTGAAATTTCCTCGTATCTACTTCTATGTGCATGTGCCTGTTAGCACGGGATTTGATACATAAGCAAACTGTAATTACTACAGGTTTTCTACTGCCAGCTCGAGCACGAAACAGAGGGATAACCCCAGCACCGAGCCCCGCCAGTGCTGCTTCATCCTCCTACCCCAGTTAGTAAGACAGACACAACTTGTCAGCCCATAACAAAACAAACTGGTAACTAAGCCAGTTTGTGCACAGAGAACTTAAAAAATGACTGAATACACTTTAGGAGAGCCTGGGAAGGAAGCAGACTTCACATTGTGCCCATGGCACTGAGGCACACAAGTAACTCACTTAAAGCCACAGAGCAACACCGTAGCGGAGCACGGACCACCTGCACCCGCTGCAGAGCCCGACGGGGATGCCGGCTTGCAGGTGCCTTTGCAAGGTTATTTAAGTGTAATCTGTTGCAGAAGTACGAGATGTTTTTGACACAAATGCTGGGAGGCAGCGAAGCGTCACCTATCCAGCACCGCTGGAGACACCAACGGGCTTTGAGCGTTGCACAGTCACAGGTTTCAGCCTGGAACCTGTGGATCCCTAGTGCGTGACGCTGCTCCGGAGGGGCCCGCAGCAGATAGCCCAGAAAAGCCAACCAAACACCAACGCGATGTGTATCTGGAGAGATACAGAGGGGGTGCACAACCTGAAATCTCCCAAAACCCACAGCAGTGCAGCAATGCCCCTTGTCCTTGCCACGGCAGGCGCACATGCAGCCCAGCACATTCTTGCTCCCCACATACTTCAGAAGGGACAATCCAATTTAATTGTCCATAGGAAGCGAGTGATGTGTACAGAAAAATCTTCCTGCTCTCTTCATCCACCTTTTTCCAAGCTAACCTTCTGAAAGGCAGTTTCAAACTTCAGGAGAAGACCACTCCAGTGGCATTATTCACCCTTACCTCTGAACACCACAAATGCACGCGGTTTTCTCAGTATCACAGTGCTCTCCAGGGCTGGCTTAATGAAAAGTGACTTTATGCACCTATCACTTACAAGATACTTGACTCTTGCTGGACATTGCTTACAAGTCTCATTTTCATTTAGAAGTTGCATACAGAAAAGAAAGGGGAAAACTGCTGTAAGTCAAAACACAATACATATGTGAGACAGAGAAGCATCTTGGGGATGTTTGCTGTAATCATATCCAGACTTCCTGCATGGGGCTGAAGAACAGGACATCAAGTTTCTAACTTCCCTATTAGTAGAGACAATAAAAAAAAAAAAAAGCCAGAAGAAGAAAAAAACCACCAACCCCAGCCAAAGACAAAAAGCCCCCACTACACAAATCAGCCTTCTCCGTTCTGCAAAAACAGACATAGACACTGCTCCAGCTAGCCTTTGGTCAAAGATATCCTATCATTTGCGGTCAGCAGACTTGGGTGGAGAGCGTGGGCTGAAGTTTTTGCCTGTGTTTGGGTCCTTAAGCCAGAGCTGATCTCCTCGAGCACGAAATGGAAAGCAATGCTTCCGAAGGCGTTATCTTCCTGCTGCCTGAGCCTGGCTGACCTCCTGAGCAGTGGGCACGGGCCTCCCTCCCCACGGTGCCCAGGTGAGCCCCAGCACCTCCGGCTGCAACCGGGCACCTCTGCACAAGCAGCTCCAGGTCACCCACGTTCCCAGGGCCACACGGCAAAGCCGGGCCAGGCTCCGGCAGGATGGCTGCAGGGTGGCACCCACACACTGCCAATCCCCGATAATCCCAGGCTGGCAAGAAAACCATTCCTTGATACACACCGCTTTGTAAAACAGGCCAAATCACAAGTGCTAGGTGAGGTGAAGGTGATCTCCAGTGAACCCTGGCCATCGACAGCAGCACCTGAAGCCCTGATGGTGCCCAGATCTCCCAATGCTCAGCATGACTATCCCGGGGAGCGGGAGACAGGGTGGGCGCATCACACTCTCTTTTGGCTGTGGCAAAACCTGTTGCCTCCTCTTCCTCTTAGTACAACTATTTTGGAAATAACCATTATTTTAGACAACTAATGACAAATTCTGATACCAACAATATGCAGTGTTGCCTGTATATTGGGGGGAAAACCAGCCTTTTGTTCCATGTTTTCTGCTCTCGCTGTCCTCTCAGGCAGAGGCAATCTCTTGCAGCAGGAACGTGCACATGAAATGAGCAATTTCTCAGGTTTCCCCGCCTTTGCCGCTCCCCTGCCATTATTTACATTTAGCAGGCATATTTCTGGAGTAGCTCTTGATCCCATGCCTAGCAGGCTTCAGACATCAAGGGAAGGCTCAGCTGCCTCTGAACACACTGCAGAAGAAAACTATTGTGGTGGCTGGCTTCTCCTCCTTCCAGTTTTATTTTGATTTTCACATTTAAAAAAAATATCCTCAGGGCATTGGGAAAAAAATCCCCATGTCAGCAGAAATACTGCAGCTTTCTGGAGGAAAGCGCAGCTAGGGAGAGCAGGAGGCAGCCCCAGGGTTATCTCATCCCTGAGCCAACGCAGGCAGAGCTCCACCACCCCAACCCCTCCCTGCCTTGGGCTGGCAGCGAGAGGGGCTGGCACCAAAACGCTGCAGAAGCACGGGCTGGGCAGGGAAAGGTACCACGGGTTATTCCAGCATTATTCAACACCTCGGGTTTTGATGGACTCGGGTTTTCCCGAGACCTCCTAGGCATTCCCGCAGTGGCCAGCGGAGGGGAGGACAGCTGGAAGATGAACAGGCACACAACTGGGAGGGCACAGACATTCAGTGACTTTGGAGCAAGCTTTTGTAAACCATGTAAACTTCCTGCAGCGAGGAAGATACGAGGCAGTGACTAATACCACCTGGAACAGCAACCCCAGCCTGGTTTTCCTGTTTATATATGTAAGCCATGCATGATGCTAATCAGATATGATAACAGGCTCTCATTCCTAGGTGCTATAGACTGAATCCACACATACATCTGTTTCAGCTGCTATGTGATAAATTACATCAGAAAGCATTTTACTCCTTCAGGAAGAAGAAGTGAACGTAAAGTGCCAGAGGTGCAAACTGGACTTCCACTATCACCCATCCATAGGGGACCAGCAACAGCCGCTCCCCAGCAAAAAAGCTGAAGTTATTCCAACATATACCCAATACTGGAAAGAGGCATCATATCCCTGCCAAAACACCCACAGAGCATCTTTTCCATACTTGCAACCATTTACCTTACGTGGCCGAGACTGCAGAAGTGCTAAAACACCATTAAAGTTTGAGAGACTTGAGTAAACTCAGCACCTTGTAAACTGAAGCACTAACTCAATATCCTGAGAGCACCTGACTAGAAGCACCAGGGAGAGTGCATTTCCATGGACTAATGCTTTCCATTCGCGGAGGGTACGACTAAAGGAGAAGAGAAACATGGAAACTGCACAAGAACTACCCAGGAAAGTCCCAGATTGTGCATCCTTTCGGCGACCCAGGCTGCAGGTACGCCGAGGCTGCGATACCCCTTCACACTCACCGATCGACAGCTTCCACATCAAAGCAAAACCTCTTCTCAATTGAGTCGGTTTTCCGCCGTGTGCAAGATTTGAGGATAACAGCTTCGTCTTCTCCCTGAGAAGTGACAGAATGGCAGACAGGGCTGAGAACAATCAACCAACCGCGTGCCTGTCCCCAGCACCCACTGCGCTTTCAATGAACATGTTCAAACCAGGGGGGATTTGGCAATATCAGCCTGCTAGAAATACTTATTTATATATCTGACATAAGGACTTGTCTTTTCACCCTTGCAACCATGTTTAGTCCAAAATCTTTCACGAGAAGCCTTCCTTTCTGAATGCACACGATTAAATTTGTGCATTAAGCATCACGCGACCCACACTTCAGGCAGGCAGGGAGTGTTGGACCACAACTTTTGGGCAAAGTCAGCTTTATTTTCCATTGCTGAACAATGCATCATAGACCTGGCTGTCAATTTTCACGCCAGGCTGCATTTTTGGCAGCATTCTGCACGCGAGAACTCTTAACGGGAGCAAACATGTCTTAAAATGTTTATTATATAACAAAGCAACGACAAAACCATTCTCCCATCCAGGCATCTGCATCCAAGTTGTACTAGATTTCCACACGCCAAGCAGCGATCCGGCAGGATCCGCGTGCACTGCTGTCCTCTGCTGGAGGAAATCCCTGCTCAGTCCCTGTCAGCACAGACATTTCTCCCGCAATTTTTAAAAACCACTGATGACTCAATAGAAAATGAATTCTGAACGAGTTCCTGGAGACGGCCACTTTTCTGTGCTCTCTGTGCTGTTCTTGATGACACCTTGGCTGACCACCCTGTTCCCTGACATCACCATTTTTCCAGGAAACGTATTTAGGGACTCAGAACAGGGCCAGGAAGACAGACCTGAGAGGGCTCCCTGCAGGGCTTCGGGGGTCACGCAGGGGCTCCCTGCACCCAGCCCCCCCCAGCCTGGCCTGCTGCTGGCACAAGGCTGCCGCCAAGCTGCCGAACTCCCCGTCTGGTATTCAGGGAATGCCCCCGCTTCAAACCCACTAATATCCGGCTCCAGCCACAGCCCGAGGCACGTTCACAAGGGGCTGATACCACGCACAGTGTCCTTTGTGCCTGCAAGCTGTGGGTCTCCTCCTGCAGCACCGACATCGCCCGTCACTTGGCACCTGCTCGAGCCAGACCCCAAAATGCCCAGCAGTGCAGCCACAAGCCCCTGGGCTGCTCCACGCTCTGACACCCATGCCGGTCATCACAGATAGACCCTACAGCCTGGATAGAGCTGCCCCAGCATAGGCAGTGTTTCATGCCAGGATCGTGCAAGCCATGAGACCCTGGGCAAGCAGCCCCACCGGCATGGTGGCTGGCATGGCACACTGGAGCAGGGCTCCTGCCCTGCACAAGAAGGGCAACACAGTTGTGTTGGCAGCGCCCGCACCCCGGGTGCAGGGAAGAGACCACATAAAACACAGTGCACCCGCTGATGATTACAGGGCTGGGATATTTTAATGCTGAGTTATAATGAAGATGCTCCGAGGCAAGAGGAAATTAATTTTAAAAGCTGCTCTCCCCACTGCCGGCTCCCTTTGCCAGCAGGGAGCCGTGCGGCAGCCTGTCCAGCTGCCTGAGCTGCTCCCCTGCAAGGGGGTAATGTTTGCAAACCACCCCAGCCGAGAACACTCCGGGGAGGTCTATTGTTCCTGCTGTATAAAGGAGCAAAGCCAGTCCCGGCTACAGCTGGGCTTAGGCTGCCCCAGGAGCAGTGGGGCACATGGCGTGTGCTGGTCCCCCACACCCACTGCTCCCCCTGCTCCTCCACACCCCCTCGGGGGCGAGGGGAGCTCCAGGCTCTCCTGTGGCTCTGTCTAAAACAAAACAACTTCATTGGCCAAGTCATAGGCAGTGGGGAAGGAGCAAAATAATGAACAGGTTCCCTTCTTCGGGCCTTGGAGCAGGACCTAGGGACTGCGGAGCAGGCGCCCATGGAGCTGGAGCGTGGTGGGTGCACGTGGCACGACCCCACTCCACTCCCAGCCCCGACCACCACCTCCACCCATGGAAACAGCCACAGCCTCAAAGGGCACAGTGCAGATGCAGGAGCCCCACCATGTGCCCGGCCTTGCCAGGAACAGCGAGAGAGAAACTGAAGATGCAACTGCCCACGCTTCAGCTTTTAAAGGTCTCTCCTTTCACAAACAGAAATAAGTAAATAAAGGACAGACCTAAAAGCAAGAGGCAAAAGGCCCAGTCTCAGCCCAGAGGCAGCTGCTGCAAACTTGTCCTTACAAATAGCTATGTGCAGACATTGGCAGGGAATACGGAGCTGAAGCGTGAAACAGAGCAATGTCCAAGGGGCTCTGTCCACTTGGGAAACCGGCTCTGCTCTCAGCACAGCTGACGACAGTTTCCAAAGACCTGTGGGCTTTTGGAGTTTTCTTTTTTTTTTTTTTTTTTAAACAAGGTGCAGAGTTAATTCCCTGTGTGGCACCCGCTCAGCCTGGAATGAATCTGACCCACTTCACTTGCATTTGTGTCACCTTGCTAAAACTGGTTCAGTTTGAGCACTGGGAGAGCGTGCAGCTGGCAGTTGCGCAGTGCTCCCCGGGAGAGACCCCCGGGACGCAGTCCTGCTGACTATCAGCACTCACCCCTTTTCCTCCAGATTTCTGGTCAAATGGCACCATCGTGATCCGCTTCGATTCCCTCTGGTACGTGCAGTAATGCTTCACCCAGGAAGTTCCAAAGTGACCTACAAAGCAAATGCAGTTTTTATTCCCAGAACTCAGTTTCAGTGCCCTCCCATTAATAACCTATTGTGTTAACAATCATTTAACATGACAGATTTCTGTACCTACAGTTCTTGTTGGACTTTGCAAGTGGATTAAGCATTATTATCCCCCTTCTGTTCAGCGGAAAGACTTTTATCAGGCACTGGCAGTGATTCTCCCTCCCAGGGAGAACCTGGCTCCCACATTCCCACCTTAATATCCCACCCATTGGGCCAATCCCTCACTTTCATGGATTTTGTAGCCTGCTGAATTAGCCTTTGTGCCCCACACCCTGATAAACCACCTTCCCCGGGTGCCCGCTTGCCACATCGCCCTGACAGGCAGCTCCGTCGCCCCAACACCTACGTTTCTCTTGCACGTAGAGATAACCCTCCATCGTGTAAGGGCTGATGTTTTTGTGCTCGTGAGGATTCTCCTTCATCTTCTTCATCAAAGATTCAACCTCTGACCTTGTTCCTTCAAAACGATTTCTTGTCTGCAAATTAAAACAGGAGTGCCTTCTACAATGCATGGACCCAACGTGGCCACCTCTGCAGCGAGGTGGCACCACACAGGGGTGCACCCCAGAGCTGGGTCACTACAGCCCATGTGGTAAATGGAACCAGGGGAGCCCACTGCCAGCCACAGGACAGGTTTTCTTCCTGGGCCTGGATTTACACTAAAAGAAAAATATTACGACAATTGGCAAGTTGTTTGTATTATGAGTTTTGTGAAAAAGTTGTTTCAAAAGAATGAAACCAGTCTGCATCCTTGGGAGAAAAAGAGTAATTTTATAACAAGAGAGGAAAGCAAAGCTGCAATGCCAACACACCAAAGCCCTGCACACACGTCCGACGTGCAGGCGCCAACCGCGCACTGGCCACGGCTGCAGCCAGCAGAAGGGCTCTGCTCCCCAGCCCGGAGACCGGGACAGCAAAAAGTGCTGCACTTCCCAGAACGAACAGCACTTCAAAACACTTGCAAAATGGTTTGAAACACTCACTAAAATCACAGGGCGCGCAACGATGTCTGCCCGCTGGCTGACTCCTGGGGAAGCTGGGCCTCTGCATTTGCTATGCCGTAGGGAATGAACTGCCATGTAGGCTGTGTATATGATGTAGTGTTATTTACAAAAAAGAATTTGCTTTCAATGACACAGTCAAAGCCTTTGCTTGATGGCACACAAAAAAAGGAGAATAAAACCTTTATTAAAATATATCAAAAAGCGTTGGCTTGCTCTGCAGGACAGTCACGGCGATGGGCACATGGCACAGTGGCACAGGCACGTGGCACACTTACGTTCTGGATGCTGATTGTCAGCTCTGTCTTGAAATCGCTGAAGTCCTTTGCAAGCTCGTAGCCATGGTGGTAGAAGGTGAAAAGCCCCTGCAGAAAGGCCAGCAGCTGCGTTGGGGTAAAACGAATCGAGACGGTCAGTAGAGACCCACAGCCACTTTTCCGAGCAACGACTGCCGAGGGGAAGTGTCCCTGCAACGCTCCGGGGGTGGAGGGGCTTGCTGACAGTCCCTAGAAAGATGCCCTGTTCCTCGTTTCACTTTCAAAACCTCCTCTGAACAGACGCCGAAGCCCAGTCTGTGCTTTCCTCCCCCAAAGCCAAGCCAGGCCCCCACCCCAGAACACCTTGCCCCCTCTGTCCCCTCTCCCTGCATCACCGAAGCCCTGGGGTCACTGAGAGCAGAGCCGGGAGGTGCAGAAAGGAGCCAGGACGAAATGCAGGCTGCACGCTGCCATTCCCTGCATTGCGCCTCTCCCGACTCTGAGTTACTCTCCTCTCA